GTCTAATTGATCTGTCAATTTTATACCAGGGGCCTACAGTATTGCATAGGAATAGGAGTATTTAACAATAAGAAAAATTGGGAAAACAGTTTCCTTTGAAATTTACTTAAGCGAGTGTGTATGAAACCGGGTCTATGGCAACTATAATTTGATACTACGTCTAGAAGTGTAGAGATACGGACCCTATAATTAAAAACTGTTGAATTCTAAATGATTACAAGATGACCAAGCATATGAATGAATCAGTCTAAAATGATATTCAAAGATATTATACAGCTAACCGCTAATGTTTGTTTTGCATGTCTATTACATACCGTCACTCACAAATGTATGCAAAAATTGACAAGATGATCATTAAAATTTGTTGTAAATACTTATTTAAATCTGTACACCGATTTTGTTTCTAGTTGTTTGTTTTCAATACTATAGCTGTTTCTTTACGATGACAATGTTTTGAAATTGTACTGTATAACACTCCAAAATTGTTTTATGGGCAAACAGCAGAAGGCTTTAAATTTTTGCAAGTTGACCAAGCGTGTTGCTGCATCATTATTGTTCAGTTACGATCACTATTCAGGCAGAGAGCAGCAGGCTGATAATTTGTTTTTGACAGCTATTTAAATGTCTTTGTTGGTAAATTTTTTTTTTAAATTGTGAGTGTAAATATTCTCCAGTGTATATTTTATATACTGTAGATAAGAATTGTAGATAAATAATGCACATAAAATCAATTGTCAATGGAGAACGGCGTCAGTCATCTGATTAGTCCCATATTAACAATACCGATATTTTGAATAATTGTTTTATTGACAGTGACTCATCTAATTCATATATAATCACTTTAACATTTTAATCGTAAAAGTTTGAATACCCACCCAATTCGTTGGCGATCCTCAGTGTATGTTATGTTAATGAAACATGTCATACTGTACAACAAGGGAATGTGTATTACAAAATGCCAGTACGTATTTTTTAGATTTTGACACACTCCGTTCTGTTGTGTGTCTCTGCTGTTGAAAACAAACTTCCTAATTTTGTGACACGCTATGATGACTGAGATGGACCATGTTGATTTATTAATAATAATATGTTGTTTGGGATAGAAAAAAGTAGAGTAAATTTCCCAAAAATGCTCCATCAGCAAATAATTTAGTGTGCGCTATGGACAGTATGGCTATGGAATTTACTAACCACACAATCCACAATCATTAAGTCACAAAACTTTAGCTGCATTTGGTGGATTAAGTCGCAAAACTTTATCTTTGTTTGGTGGCGCCATTTACTCTAGGTAGACAGAGACCAGTTTCGTTACCGATTGGTACATTTCTTACAAACATTCAGCCAAAGGCCAGTGAAAGTTTTTATCAATGTTTGCCATCCTTATGTGAGCTATCGTAAAGTCATGGTTTGCCGGAGTTGCGTTCAATTTAAATCTCCGAACTTCTGAAGCTGAGATATTCTATGAATGTAGGCTTGTATCGCAGGCTACAATATAAAAACGGGTGACCAAATAATGAATTGGGTGCTAAATTTTGATTTAATGCTGGGTAAGTTAAAAACAGACATTCCGTCCGAGTGGGACTCATTCAAAAATTCGAGGGGGTTTGCTAGAAAATAGGGGGGTTCGCTAGAAAAGAGGGTTCGCCCGAACCATAAAACCCCCCTGGCTACGGGCCTGTGTGGCACACCATCATTCAACCATTGTTGGTAACTTTCTTGCAGTTGAAAATGTGATTCAGAGTGTATTAAATAGACAGGAATTGTATATAATTATTAACCCATGATTAGTCCTATATTTGTCCCAATATTACCCCTTCACACTTACCCCTTAACAGATACATTAATTATTTTATGAATACATAATTATACTGAATTTGTTGTATTACAAAATATTGACTAAAAAGGGAGAAATATATTTAGCTTAGGACTTATAGTAGAAGATGTTAGGCTTCAAAAAGATAATGTATTTATGCTAATGAAAGTTGATTAATTTATAATTGATAAAGGCATTGCACTAGGCAAATAGAATGTCAATATTTGTTTTGCTCTGTCTTCTAGATTAACGCCCTTTACAGCAGCCTTCCAGGTCAACAAGACATCCGGGGACTAAAACTATTGTGAGTAACCACTTCTTGCTCAGAACCACCATCAGGCTTTTATTGATATGATGTGATACATGTTCTTAAGATCCTATCCAGATTATCAAACTTTGTTTGACAAAAACATGTCACATGCCTAAAATGATGATATCACATCAGGACCATATAAGCATCTCATGACTATATGTGGGCATGCACCATTTTTTTTCAAAGAAAATTGGATAATCTAGACAGAACTTAGGTAATATTATAGCTCATTTATTATTGTCTTCTCAAATAGAGCTTCAAAATGCAGTGCCTTATCATTTATCCTAGGGAAGCCATTCAAAGACCAAATTAAAGCTTATAATGTGATCTACCAATATGTAATATAAATTCATTTTTTGATTTTCTAACAATGAGACTCATTTTGTAGGGAGACCTCACATTTATTATTGATATAGAGCTTCAAAATCATTCAGTGCCTTATCATAAGAATTGGATTACTTTGGTGTGCGATATACACAAAGGATAATCAACAGTCCAAAGACTAATTTTTATTGGGTTCCTTCTTGTGTTGAATTTGGCTGTGCACTCAATACTGACCAGTGGCTTAAATATGTGTCTGAAAGTTATTTTAAAGTTATTGTTGTTGTTGTTATTAATGTCATCAAATTTTGGAGAAAAGAATCATACAGTATTTAAGATTTTCTATAAGAATTATTACCCTTGTCTCTCTGAAGGGAAATGCAATAGTGCGCATCTGTGTGTGTGTGTACTCAGTGCGCATAACTCAAAAACTGTTACACTGCTAATTAATTTTGTTTAATCAATTGTTTTCAAATTAAATTTTAGTCATAAGTAACTACAGCCATGAAGTAATTGATTATTAGCAGTTGTTTACATTTTATTGCCTATGTTTTTTTTTGCAATGGAAAATTTTCTGTATCGCTTTATGTTGTCAAATATGTTTTGTTCTGGAACACCATTGGAAATAAGTTTTCTTTTTGAAGACTTCCATGGGCTATCCTGGCATCTGTCCTTTTTAATGATGCTTTAACTGTCTCTCCCGCATTTTGTATATATTTAGAATGCTATTTATATATTTTATGGCTGCTGCAGACAGACACAACTCGAGTGGATCGACTGTGGGCTAGAGTAAGGAGTGGGTTCAATTCTGTCAGACTGGAAGCAGTCTGGTCAGAGTGGTGAGCTTGCCACGTGAGGCCTACGATGCTAGCTCTTGTTTGGCTAGGCCGAGCCGACTCAAGCGAATCGACCATAGGCCATTAGCTTTTCAGTAGGTAGATATGTTATAATAGAGTGAGGGTTTGTAAAATCGGATTATCATCTTGTTGTTATTAATTTGTAGCACATTTCTTTGTTTAAATTTGTTAGTGAGGAGAATAACGCAGTTAAAGTGTCATTTGACATTGTGAGTGTGGGATTCGCCGAGTCTGCTATAGTCAGGGACACGCTATACTCCGTCATCAGTACTGGATCACTCAATAGTTTTGAAGTTGAACCGGAATCATTGACATTTATTACTGTAGGAGAAGGAGAAACATGTGGGTATTAAATTTCCATTTTTACCTTCCCTTCATTTTGATTAATTGAATTGAACTTGAATTGGGTTTTGTTTTTTGAAAAAAAAAAAAATTTCTTAACAAATGAAGCCAAAGTTAATTTTAATATTCAGTTAAACTTACAATTTAGTTTTAGGTATACGTATAATAGGGTATAAGAATATTTATGTATGTATTTATGTTTTTATGGCTTGAAAGAATATATTTTAAATCTTGAAGGCAGTATAATGATGTTTAGAAATCTTATCCAAGGTGTTCATTGAAGGTAACCTATATCATATACTGTAATATGAAAAACGTGTAATTTGATTATTGGCTGCATTATGCTTCTTCTAAATATTAGGTAAATACTGTTGTATGTTAAATTTGGAACTTGTTTTTTGATTAAAATCTTTAGCAGTATGCTGCCCTCTGTCATTTGGTTCTAAGTCTGATTGACACTATTAGTTTCAGTTAATTGGATTCCAAGTATTACTAACCTCCAGTTTGATGCTTGCTTTTATACAAAGAGTTATTGTTCTTTATTATTTACAAGATATTTTGTTCAGTTCATGTTTATAAATTTGAGTAGTTAACATATGTGACCAGCTGGCAAAACAAAAGTCCTAATTTCGCATTAGCGCCCAAAACGTTGATAAGAATTTCTTAACATTTTCAGGTTTTTTTGCATTTTATAAAAGAAGATGTATTGAAGAAAATTTATGCAAAATATCAGTCACTAAATCTAACTGAAAAGTATATAAAAATAATATACAAATCTTAATTTAAATGAACTACTGTTGTCTCAAAACCTACAGTACTTAGCTGATATCCAATGAATTAAATGTTCATAGCATTGCTAGTACCAATTTTTATCAAATAAACACTGTTTTTAAGAGGAATTCATGCAGAATCAAGATTTCCCAGAGCCGGTCACATTATTATCATGCAGTAATTACTCCCTGCTGATGAATTCTACTATTGTATTTATAGCCACTGTATTTATAGCCACGTTCACGTCTCCATTGATCGCGAGCGGTTGAGATGCTGGGTCGTGAGCAAGATTGTGTTAGATAAAAAAAAAAAAATGGCCAAACTGCGTTCGTTACACTGCTTTCGAGGCGACCGGAAATAGATTTATGTCACATCCCAAATGGTTGTCGACATGCTAGGCCTGCGATTTCTGATCCTAGGCCTGGGTGGAGGTGGCATCGACGATCCTCCAACGGTCCCCACCTGACATTTTTGTGCGAACGCCGATGTTCCCAATTCTGTGGTAAACTGATAAAGAATTAAAGAAATCCTACTTTTGTGATTTACATTTGCAAATGGTTACTAAAGAAATCTGTAAGGAAGATTCAGAAGAGAAGTTTTTACTAGTGGAGTTTGCCTGTTTGAAACCACCTCAATACCTGAATTCCTGATGGGTATTAAGTAGATATAAGATTCCCTGAAGGCTTTGTAACTCAACCTCTTATTTCAAAGTTAAATGGAACGATCCAAATATAGGGGTGTGTCTGTTATAATTTTTTTCAATTAGAGCGAAAATATTCATATTTAAATTTATAACATAATAAATCAGTAATTAATCAGATTTTGTTGTTTTTATTATAATTGTGGTTATCCATTGTATTATCACTAAATTGAATTAATTTTCACTCCAATCTAAAGTTTATGCAAATTTTAAATTAATTGATTAGGCCTTCATTTTTAAATTTGCTTGCTGTTTTAATTTGTATTCTCTTATTCAAATTCTCTTTTTTTGTTTTAAGTGATGGAACATAAAACAATGACAATTATTATTATTATTGTTATTTTTTATCATAAATACCCCTATTAACAAGTGAACTATTCCAATGTTTGGCCTGTTAGGTTTTTCCAAAAGAGTTACTGACACAGTTCTGTAGAAATTCAGCACTGGCTATACTGAAGCTTTGCTTGCTGTCTCCTACCAAAGCTGCAAAATGTTCTGCAGCTTCCAACTTATTTTGTTTGTACTTTTTCTTGTAGCTTCTGTACCTAACTTAACAACAGCTCAACCATCTCCTGCATGCCGTGGAGATGCACAGTTCGTATGTCCAGATGGACAGTGCGTTGATTTTGCAAGAGTATGTGATGGTTTTCGTGACTGCTCCTCTGGAGAAGATGAACAGTCTTGTTCATGCTTAATACCCAATGCTTTCACCTGTAATACGCAGCAGTGTATCCAAGGAGATCTTGTTTGTGACGGATTTAGAGATTGTACTGATGGATCAGACGAGGTTGGGTGTCAAGCTCCTACATGTAAGGCTACTGAGTTTCGTTGTGCAAACGGCGAGTGCCGTCCAAACTTTGAACGTTGCAATGGGAATTATGATTGTGCAGACGCTAGTGATGAAGATTCTTGTGGTTAGTGCATGAATCGATTATCCCTCCCTCTGCTTTTGTTTGCCTCTCCAGCTGTTCTACTAATCTAACTCCGCCCTCTGCATATTATGAAGCCACATTAGCTGTTCTTCTAATCTTCCCTTGCTAAGTTAACTTGAGTTAAAGCCTGCTAAATATGCAATAATTATAACACTTTATTTTGTTATAGAAATAGTTTTGCCATAATTTTAAGCTATGCCTAAAAAAGGTTCTTTTAAAATAAAAAATACTAGTAAAGAGAATGCAAAAATAATATAGAAGTACTTATTTTTGTATAGTTTTTAATTTGTTATACCTTTGACAGAACATAATCTCTTGGAGTAGGTTTTCTCTAAAGTATGATATACTTTTTCTCCTGTATCCAAACATTGCATTGGTTTATTCAGTATGCTTAGAACTTTAATTCAGAGATTTATAAATATACTATGTTTAATAAGCATCAAGGAGAAAGTGCATTATGCTCAATATAATTTATTTGCAGTTTGTATTTGAAGTAGTCTAAAATAAATATTTATTGCATTATAACCTATAATGCTGCTTTCTATTGAGCAGCTGTTTTCAAATCTTGTTTTTTTAACCTAGGTGAATAGGTAAAAATTTGTCATAATACCAATAGTGGGTAAATAATTGGTGATTGTTTTGTTCTTTCAACAAAACCCAGCTGACCCTATGTTATGCCTATATATATGTCTTGCTTACTACTACCTGTGTGATTTCATTATGCTGTTTATTCTGGCTAGTTCCTCTCCAGGCAATTTAACTCCTTAAAGAATCTCTTCATTTTGTAAGTCTGTAGTATTTTTTTCAATGCTATTTTTTTTTTGGTTGATTTTGTTGTTAAAGAGGCTTGTTTACAAACAATGATCTTAGAATATATATATTCTTGGGGAAAATATAAACCTTCAGAACATTCTGTTCCTATTTGATATGGTATTAATGACACTGATTTAATGTACATTATATCTGAAATGTGTGGACATTGTTTAGAGTTCTTATACATTAGTTTGTTTTGTTCTTGGTTTAAGAACGTATACTGATGAGTCAATGCTTTTTTAGGATTGCTTTAAATTTCAGCTGTTACGTATTGACATGTTGTAAATCTCCATTATTGTGTACCCTCCATAGGCCTACAATTGTATGACTCATCAACAACAATATCCTAACCATATAATAAAGATGATTATCATTAGTTAATGTTAGAAATTGAATCTATCCAATATTACCACAGCCATCCAGTGCCCAATATCATAATCTTCACTACCATTATTATCATCATCACCACAATCATCATCATTACCATCACCATTATCATAACCACCATCATCATTATCATCATCATCACAGTCATCATCATAACCATCATCATAACCATAGCTATCATTATCAACATTAACATCGTCATCACCATTATCACCATTACGATTAGCATCTGGCCAACAAATTGTCAGCAAGACAGTTGACATTTATAAATTCAATTTTTTTTTTGTTCACTCACCCTATATTTGTTGATTGGAAAAATGTTAATCACAGGCTAAAGTCCAAGATTAATATATATATTCTACAAGATAATGCTAAAATGGGATGTTTTTAAATAACATAGAAGTCATCTTTGATTGTTGAGATTTTGAGTTAATGGGAAAATCTTTGTTTTGCCTCATAATTATCAACACTACTGTCTTCAACATTACCATTTGTCATCAACATTGCAATTTAATTACAGTTCATGAACATCATAATCAACAATTTACCATTGTGTATATCGGCTGTCTCCCTATTTCTTATCCTATACAGTTTCTCATCCTCTCTCATCACCCACTCCTCATCATTCATAATCAGATGATCCTACTTGTCCACATTCTTCCCAGGCATTGGCATTCAGTGAATTTCTGATTGATATATTGAGAAATTTATGATTTATAAAGTCCAGATTAATAAGCAGAAGACACGTCAATGAGAAATTTATGAGTCTTGGAATATTTTCATCTGTTTAACCCTTGTAGTATAATTGTAGTCATTAGCTATACCATTACCATACCATATACTTTTCCATTCCATTGCAATTGCATAAAGTCAATACTATCTTTCTGTTTCTACTAAGGAGTGTGTTTATTTTTTCCCCGTACAGTGGAATTTGTACTCCCTTCTATTTTTCCATTCCATTGCAGTTGCATAAAGTCAATACTATCTTTCTGTTTCTACTAAGGAGTGTGTTTATTTTTTCCCCGAAATTCTGCCATGTAATTATTGTACATTTCTATATCGAGAAAGGCCTTCACTGTTTAAACTTGAACATTCCTAAATATTATAATTTTCTGTATTCTCCATTAAAATGTAATTCATTTAGTATGTTGTTTAGATATGTTAAAATGTGTCTATGTCTAGAGCACTGTCAGCATTGTAGATCTATCATGAAAACCAAATTCATGATTGTGACAAACTAAAGATTTTCAATTCTTGGTATATTTCAATGTTCTTGATTTTGAATTGTCTTGATTCTTGCCTTATTTTGATTCATATGATTTTGATTTGGTGTTTTTTTTATTGTTGGATTTAGGTTTTTAGCTGGATACTAATTTAAAATTGTTTTCATGCTAACTTGCTTGTTTTTTTTAACCATGTTTGCTTTATAATGCCTGATTTTTTCTGATTGTTTGGCAGATTATTATTCATAAACTTTAATATAGGCTTGCGTTTAAAACAGATTATTATTCATAAACTTTAATATAGACCTACGTTTAAAATTTACAAGGTCTTGCAAACCACATTTTATTATTGTTTATTTTGTTTTATTTGTCAATGTTTATTTTGTTTATTGCAGCCCTACCACCAAATGTTTGCGGTACAGATCAATTTGAGTGTGTCTATCAATTTGAATGTGTAGATATCCGTTACGTTTGTGAAGGTTACCTTGATTGTACTGATGGATCAGATGAAGAGAATTGCCGTAAGTACAGATATCAATTCATATATAGTAAATCTAATATTATAAACAAGAGAGAGCTACCTTTCCTTCACTATTTAATGCACAAAATGTTTTAATGTCTCAAAATGAATAATTAGCTTGAATCTCAGTTATATTTAACTTAATTATTTTGACTCAATCTAAATCAATAACTTCCAATTACCTTTTTGTTTTACCAACTACTTTGATAAACTTTACACTACTGTAATATTTAGTTGTTTTGTGCTTTTGTGAAGAAGTTTATACAATGAACCTTGACTGAAAGTAAGGTGGCAAATATGTGACATAGAATGTTGCACCTCCAAATCATGCCTCGCGAGTTCTCTAAGGTAATAAAAGAATAGAATTACCTTGAAGATAGAGAGTGACATGAGTTAGTTTCATAGTGTGATGGTTAAGAATGAGGGAAGCTCCTCATGTCATAAAGCACATGCAGTACATATTGTATATCACAGCTTGTCACAGGAATCCAGCCCATGTTTATATAATACACGCATTCCAATCCCTAGATTCTGGGTTCAAATCGTGTGACACTAGCATTTTTTGTCATGACTAAAATGTGTTTCTCATTTGGGTTTGGAAACAAGGAAATGGCTACAAAGTTGTACATGGAACAGAGAAGAATGAGTTAAGAAAGGGAAGCAGTAATGCTTAATTGTTTTAAATGAGAAGTAGTAGTTGCAAAGAGAAATATTAATCCACATGATATACTAGTTGGTTTAAGGTTGGTGCAAAGTGCTACTTAGGTCAGGAAGGATAGTAAAGTTTAGTTGACTGCATGATTTATTTTATGCCAATTGACAGATTTATTATTGGTTCACTGAATATCAACCTGACGAACTCATATTCTATTAATGTCTTTACAGTTTGTACCTGTAAGTGTAAGAGGGAGGGGAATGTGGACGTCAATCAATCAGCTAATCAGTTGTTTCTTATAATAGACTGAATGATAATTATAAGCCTTGATTCACTTGATATGATTTAGCTGGATAATTTGAATGGAGTTTAATAATGGTTAAGATGCTTGCCTTCTAATACTAGGGTCCTGGGTTCAATTCCTGTGACAACTCCACTTTCTAAGCCTCATAAAGATAAACTGATAAAAGCATCACATTATTGAATTTATTTTAAGATTGTCCCTGAATATCAGCCGACCTACTAGGATACGCTGGAATGATTACCCTCTACAAATATAATTTAAAAAAAATATGCCTATACATTCTCCTTTAATAGGGTATTCCATAATATTGAAAGTAATTAGTATACTGGCATTGAATTCACTTCTTAATTTCTTCGGTAGAGAGAGAGCAATGATAAAACAAAATTGACCAGTTCAAGGATAACTAAATGATATTCATTTGTATCTGTATTACCAATTTTCCTCTTTTTTAATCATATTTTTATGGTGGACGTGCATGCACGTTTGTGCATACAATTCTATGCCTGAAGGCTTTTATTTAATAACTAGACCTCCGTCCCTTTTAACATAATTAAACATAAATACAAATATAATTAGGATATCTAAATATACATTCCTATAATTATATGCATAATATACATACATTAATAAATTATTAACAATATTCACATCTTAGATGACAATAAATAAAAGAACAGAAAAATTAAAAAAATTAAAAATTAAAAGTATTTTTGTTAACATATTGTGGCAAAAATGTTTTTCTAATATCAATATAGGGACAAACTGAAACAAAATGATATTCAGCTTCTATTTTACCTAAGTTACATAACTTGCATAATCTGTCTTTTCTTTCTATATTTACCCATCTACCCCTTTTTACCTCTAGTTCCAAAATACCCAATCTAAGTTTTGTAAAAAGTTTCTTATATTTAAAATCAATGTTTTGTGTCAAGTATTCATCTACTCTACTAACATTTTGTAATGCCTTAATTTGGAATATGAATTTATCTTTTCAAAAAAATTCTGTCGTTCTATATCTATCAACCTAATATGTTATGGTGAACAGCAGGCACATATGTATGATATAGTAATGCAAAAGTATAGGAAACAGACCACTATAAAACAACCACAGATCATTTTTATTTTCAGCTGCTACACTTTGGAACTCCCTCCCAAAACATACCGACTCAACTTTAGTTGCCATATTTAAGACCAAACTCAAAACCCACCTTTTTAACATCTGAAAATGCTCAGCGCCTTTGATTTTTACTTCGGTTTAGTGATATTGGTGCTTTATTAAATTAAAATTATTATTATTATATTATTATCCAAAAGGCCAAACAAGGTCGGGGTTTCAATCCCTCGCTGTGCATTTTACTTGTGTCCTTGAGCAACTTTATCTACGTTGCTTCTCTCCACCCAGAATTGTAAATGGGTAGCTGGTTAGGTTGCCTGCTCCTGCGCCAAGATGGCAGCAACACTTAAGCATGTGGACCCAATGACCAGGGAAAAACTTACAGCGCTTTGTATCTGTAAAGGTAGGCGCTATATAAAAATGACCAGAGTAGATTAGAATGTCAACCTGGAATGAGTTTCTAATTGACGTTTGAATTCATTAAGTAATATTTTTTTCTTTTTCTTTCTCTATCTTTAAATTTGTTTTATTAATTTGAACTCTGTTATATTTGGTTTTCTAAAATTTTTATGCTTTTAATTTTATGCATATCCAGATGATGTTTAACTGTTCTTTTACATTAAACCTTGTCACTTATCCAATCTATTTTTCATTATTTTAATCATCGTCGTATTAGCTTCTATTTTGCCTTGCTTAATGTAACGTTTCATTGTTTTCAAAGCTGTAATACCTGCAGGAAAATCTCTTTGTGTCACAACTCCATAATAATAAGCAATATTTTCTTTGTCAATAATAAAATCACCCCTTGGGTACTTTTCTTAAGATTAAGAAGACCAACATAGGCTGATTATTTGGTAATATCAGGTTGACAGTATAGAAGGTTGAATTTCAAGGTAGAGCATAATGTTGCATACAAGAGTATCCTATACCAATTTTAAGCCCTCATTTCATCAATGAGAGTATGTTCACACACACAGCGTAAGGCAGGCGTAAGCCTGCGTAGCATACGCCTTTGTGTGTGAACTAGGCTTATACAGTAATCATATAAGTTACTTGCGCCACTCACAACGCCACCGCTACCTGTAGACCCCAGATTAGTTAATGCCACAGAGCTAATGCCAGAAATGCTTGAATGATATGACCTCATTTAAAGAGATTGACCAATCACGATTGCAATGGATTAGTTACTTTGATCCCTTTTCTGTGCTCTCTATAAATGAAATGGTAAAGGGATTCTTTTTCTATTGCATTTTACTTAGTTTACAGTATATATGATTTGTTGATTGTGTTTTGTAAAATATTTTAACCTATTTAGACTGTCTATTAAAACCTGCAACACCAACAATTGTTCCGTAATGCTAGCTGAAAAATCTGAAGTAAAATTGTTCATTTAAAACACAGTAATCATATAAGTTCACTTCTAACAATTCACAGATTTAAAAGTTTTAATGATGCGCTGTAAATATTTTACTACAGTTAAGAACCCATACATTATTTAAAACTGAAAATTATTCTCCCTATAGGCCTATATTACTACAAGTTTAACGCCAGCATTAATATTGTAGCGAACGCCGTTTGTGTGAACACGTTGGAATTTTAAACAATGGATTAGCTTACGCCGGCGTAAGCTACACAAGTCTTACGCCGTGTGTGTGAACATACCCTGAGAGTACTGTACAGCAACTCAGTACAGTAATGTGTCCAGGTACTATGCTTTTAGTGCTTGCTCTTAAGTGGCCATACCTCCTAGGTAGATGGTAATGATAAGCAATAACTGGCAATTAATTTGTGACAATTTATTTTATGTATTGTATATTAGCATAATAATGTTATCAAAATACAAGTTTTTAAACAACATTTATATAGGCCGTGAGACTCAATAAATATTTGAAATTTAGGCTGATGGAGAGAGTTCTGGTGGGGAAAGTGGGAGATAATTACATTTATGTATTTAACAGTATAATTTTCGTTGATATGCAAGCAGATTTTAGGCATTTCAGGTTAAATTTTAAGTCTTCAATAACCCTTAAAAGTTTAAGTATTTGTTAACTCATCAAATTGCAAATGCTAAATCTTGACTGAATCTAACTTTAAGAACATAATAACCTCATCTGTGGGATCACTTAATATTAACCAAAAAAATATTTGTTTAAGCAAGGAAACAATGCGTCTCAGCAATTGATGGAATAGCCAGCTTTAGGCTAAAGTCGAGAGCATTTTAGTTATGAAATTAGATATACAGCAGTAAACTGTCTATTGTATCGAGTAAAGTATATTTATTTTGCTTTTGTTGGGAAAGTCTGTGTCTCTGTACATTAGGCATCCTTATTGTAAATAGCTACTTTAGGGTGAATAGACAAAGCTTTATGCACTGTAGTGTTAAGGCAATGGTACTGAAGATTTTGAGATTGGACTGCATTTGAAAAACAGCCTGATCTTTATTTCTGGTGGTGTCACTGAGGGCAGCATGTTCCTGAGACGTTTCAAGTGCTATGTGGTGCTCATTTATAATGTTAACTGTACTTGTTAGAATACCATGGGTGTTTTTATTGATTTTATATTTATTATTATCATCGTCATTGTCATCATTCTTCTTCTACTCACCATCATCTTTATCTTATAATCATCATCATGATTATTACCATCCTCATCATTATACTTTTTCATCACTTTTTTCATCTCATCATTATAATCATCATCAATATCATTCTCATCCTCTTTATTGTGAATTTTTTTTTTTATGTATTGTATAATATAATGAACTGATATCCAAATATTCAACATTTATACAGGCTGTGAGACTCAATAGATATTTGAAATTCAGGATGATGGAGAATACTGATGGCGAAAGTGGGAAATGTACATTTATTTACCAGTATAATCTTCGTTGCTATGCTAGCAAATTTTAGGTGTTCAGTTAACTTTCAAGTTAAATTTGAAGTCTTCATTAACCCTTGAAAGTTAGTTAGTTAGTTAGTGTTTGCTAAGCTCATCAAATCAAATGCTAAATCTTGACTGAAACTAACTTTAGGAACATAATAACCTTGTCTGCGGAATCACTTAATATTAACCAAAAAAAATATTTGTTTAAGCAAGCAAACAATGCATTTTTATTAAAATGATTTTTATCCTTATCCAATCTCCTCATACAATTCACTTAACTTTTATAATAATCTTTCATATTTATCATCAATTCTTTCAACAGCCATCTTCACTGCTTTGAACACTTTATAAAATATTATTAAATTGTTTTTATTTTTATTTTATTTATTTATTATCCAATCCAACAGCAAATACAAAATTCGCCACTTACTGCTGGGAACGAGAAATGGATACATAATACTTTATTGCCAAAGTGAAGAAAACCAACAGTAAAATTACCATCATCATCCTTTTTATCACACAGTCACACTTTTCATAGCAATTACAGTTAATATTCACTCATCAAATTTGTTCGCTGCTCTTGCAGTTGCAGGTGAGATATCTCAGTCACAGCTCAGTTAACTCATCTTGCTTATCTGCACCTCCCTCTTAGGTGGTGCTAACAATGAGTCACTTTGGTGGCCTGACACCACCTCTAAAGGGGACACCTGTTGCCTGTGTTAAAGTTAAGAAAGGAGCAATACCTTGGTTGAAAGAATTCAAAACTGCGAGGAAATTCAAATTTTTAATATGATGACATAAAACCTGAATGTGTATTTAAGAACTTGTCTCATTGACTTCTAAAATATTTCATTTTATGCGTCAATGACCTCTTTATGAGGTGACCTTAGAGTGGCATCCATAACCCAGACTTCACCCTAGGGGTACCTTGAAGGACAGAGCATGTATTATTATTACCCACAATCCTAAATGGTACATTTAGCAAACATAATTGGTCAGATTTGTTAGATTTCCATTGAATATGTAGTTGATTAGTTGAAGTCAATACCAACTTTCTTTTATTTTTTTGTTTATGGCAATGTTAGGTAATTTATTTTTATTTGTTCAAAGGAGTAGAAAAGCCTTTATTTTTAAAAATAAATAATTCAGGCGACAAAAATGTTTAAAATGATTTCCCTCAATGAAATGGATGAATGCTTTCAGAAACAATAGTATCTTGATAACATTGATGAGGATTTTATAGTCGTAGATGCTATAATGATCCCAAAATGCTTGTATTCTAAATTTATTATTTGTTAGGAAATAGATTTTGTTCTAGTGCAGCCAATAAAATAAAATAATGGAGAGAAAAAAAAAAAGAAGAAACCAATTCATCCAACTACATCCAATGACATAATACATACTTAGTGAAGAGTGAGAACCTGCATATTCAGACTTTCATTGAAGGACAGTATGATATAGTTGGTCATATGATATGTATATACACTATCCTTATTAGATGTGCACACACACATAATTGAATGTAGAATATCTTAACATATTTACTTTTTCTATGATTAAAATCATATTGAGCAGATTTCAATGGTTGACCTAGGTATGGGTAAAGGGTGTGGCCCCCGTTGCATGGATCCACACTGACAGGGCATATGTCAACAGGGTTTTTATTTCTCACATTTTTAAACATTACTAATGGAAATCTTTCTTCAAATAGGAACTCCTACTACACCTGTTATTCTCCCCCCTGAGTCTACTACAGCCGTGCCTATCTTACCACCTGTAAGTCCCACTATCCACTTTCCATGTGCCGATGGACTAGCCACTTGCAATGATGGTGGCTGCATCCAGAGGGATTTCATTTGCGATGGAGACAGAGATTGCAAAGATGGATCTGATGAAATTGATTGCACTGGTAATGGTTTACCATATTTCTTCGAATAAACTCCCTGCTTTGAATAGATGTCCTCCTGGAATAAATGCCTTCTCCATAGCTTTATTCCAGTTTATTTTTTTCTCGAATAAACACCCCCTCCCAAATGACTGTAAACAAAACTAATGGAAGCAAAACACATTCTATTATTATTCTACTTCAAGATTACATTTTCTCTAACCAGGTTTAAGATCAATAAGTTGATTTTATAATCACAAAGTAACACATTTTGAAGGTAATTGTGTGCTGGAATTGCACATTTACGGAGAAATATTTGATTACCCATGTACATTTTACACCAAAAAATTAAACGCCTCCCTCGAATACACTCCACCTCAAAAACCCTTCTCAACAATAAATGCCCCAGGGAGTTTATTAAAGTGAATACGGTAATTTATTAGGACAAACATAGAATAGCATAATAAACTAGTGGTTCTGTATTTAACATGTGATAATTGGTAATTGACACCTTGTGTACTATTTGACATATGGATATATCAATATTTTATCAAAAATTTAATTATTTACTTGTTTCTGTACAGGCGATCGCTGTGAACCTAATGAATTCCGATGTAACAACGGGTTCTGTGCAATGAAGATCTGGCGTTGTGATGGTGACATTGACTGCACTGATGGTTCTGATGAACTCAACTGTCGTATGTATTATGTTATATTTTGTTTAGATCACTATGTATTATTAACTTGAAAAAGTCAATTAGATTTAAATTTGATTAACAAAGGCATATGAAAATTTAGATGATGGAAAGAGAATATCACTCACCTTATTTCTAATTATGATGTTTTTAGATAATGAATGTATTTGTAATTTATTTGTTTTGCAATACACAGCAACTGGGTCACCTGATGACCCATGTACAGCTCAGGAGTTCCAGTGTCTGAATTCCTTCGAATGTATTCCTAAAGCTTATCGTTGTGATGATCAAATTGATTGTGTCGACCGTTCTGATGAAATCACTTGTGGTGAGTAGTAAGAATTAACTTGAAAGAATAGCCATGGAAATAAGGGCCATGAAAACAAAATAGTCATGGAAACAAAATGGCCATGGATACAAACAGGCCATGGAAACAAAGTGACCTTGGAAACAACATCATCTTGGATACAAAATGGCTATGGATATATAAATGTCCATGGAAATAAAATAGCCATGGAAATGAAGTTGACATTGGCAATACTGATTTGTAATATCCAAATGGCTGTGGAAAAATGGCTTTGGAAGGGTAGTGTTAATAATCAGCACCCAAGAATAGGCCTAATTATTTCAGCAGGCTATATTTTGAAAACATATTTGGATGATATAATTTGTTCTATGAGCCATTGATGTGCTACAAAAAGAAAATCAATGAGGATATAGAATTGCCTTTAAATGTCTAAAAATTAGAAACCAAGTGTCAAATATATGATCATATACTGTATTAAAAAAAAAAATAAACATGATCTGAGCTATCAATTTTTTTTTTTTTTTTTCCCGGAAAGCACTCAGAACAAGGATAAGAGCCACTGAATATAATGGCTAGAAATAAATTCACATTCCTCTTAAATGAATGAACTTGTGAAACAGAAACCCAGTTTCAGTTTTTAATTCATCAGGACAAGAAGCAATTAGCAACAATTAATTTTAATATTAATTATTAATTGAATCAAATGTTAATTATTTTTCTTCATACAGCCAAACCAGATGTCACCTTACCTCCAAATCCTCGCACGACTTATTATGTTGGAGAGACAATCATTATTTACTGTGAGGCACAAGGAATCCCTTACCCTCAGATTACATGGCGTCTGAACTGGGGAAGTCTCCCAGAGTCAGATAGGGTAAATAACTCTTAATTTTGAATTACTTTTCCTTGCTGCAACTGTAACATGATTCAACAAGGAGCAGATTCATTGTGTTGATAAATTGAAGCTGGAAATCGATATGTAATGCCCCAAATTTTTATTTTCAAAACAGATATAATTTTCTCATTCACAGTCTGTCAAATCAGTACTTTTGGCGAAGTATTTATTGAACATGGCTGAGTAACATTCAGATAGAAACGAAAGAACTTTACATGAGTTAACATACAGTGTCTTGCTGAAGATATGACAATTTGCAAGATTGCATAAAATTACACTGCCTTGTTGAAGATTGTAGATAATTGCAGTATTCCGTAAAGAAGTGATGAAAAGCATTGAAAGAGTGATAGATTGGCATTGATTTTTTATTTCTAACTTATAGTGTTCCCCATTTTCAAATAATTGTGAATTTCTGTTAAGATTACAACAACAAGTGTGCAAGGTCGGGGTACACTGACTATCAGAGACGCACGCAAAGCAGATCAAGGTGCATACACCTGTGAGGCTACAAACTCCAGAGGTAGTGTCTTTGCAATTCCAGATGCTATCATCATTGTGATTGGTAAGTTTATTAGCTTAATAATATTCTTATGTAGGATACTTGTAATTGAATAAAAAGAACCTCTAATACCTATTAAGGGATACTTATATATTTATGTTTTTCTTCCACATCCAACAGCAAGTACACTTGCAGACTGAAGGTCATGTGACCCTCTATGCACTATATTATATTATTGCGATTCTTTGGAACAGTTTAGGTAATTTTATCAACATAGTACAGTACTGACATCAAAGTACAATACTATTTTTAAAATCATATTATTATTTCTTACCCTTTGTATAATTGCATTTTGTTGTCTTTATGAGGCTTGGTATCCCAAAACCAGTGTAATGTTGCTAACATTTTAAACTGAGTAATTAGCAAGAATGTGGCATTGTTGTATACTCTTGTACTCTTGAAATTTTATCAATTTCAACATCATTCATTTCTTTCATCTTTTCTTTGATATTTACACAGTAGAAAATAATTTAATTCAGCAATACTGTAATAATATTGGAATAACTGTATAAGTAATAGTAATTAACACGTTAACAAGGAAAGAGGCAACAGCCTTTAAAGTTAATTTATTTGAAAAGATCAACCGAAACTTGTGTTTGACCAGCCAGATAATATAAACAATGATAATAGTAAATTTCAAAACACACACACAAAAACAAAACAAAGGACAGAATATATTAAAATAAACTCCCAGATGATATTAAAATAAACTTTAAATCTATGATAGTTTCAAAATTTAAAAATTCTATATCAGGTCTGTAAAATCTAAACCAAATATTTCATTTACCTTGCATATACAGGTATGTATATTTTTTCATGTAAATGTACTTTTTGATTGTTACGTTTTTATCTTGTATATACGTGTTCATTTTCCTTATTTGTTAATACTGAACCACTTTGGAAATCAATGCTTTAGCACTGAAAGTGTCATTCAGTATAAAGAATAAATAAAATATAAAAAGGAGACAAGACCTACGAATGTAAGGAACGTTTTAAAAATAATGGATGCATGGCACAGAAGCACAGGTTAATAGCTGGACAGATTTGTTGAGGAAAGTTAATCATAAAAAGAGAAGAAATAAATTTAAAAAAATGAATCTAACAACACCTTGATCTGTCTCTTATACACATCTAGATGTGTATAAGAGACAGATGTTATGTTGTAGAAGTGATAGTTTGGACTGGGGAAGATGTATTTCATTGGAGGTCCTGGTATTATAAGAATTAATTGAAGAATTAAAAATAAAATTGCTAGAGAAGTTTGATGGAAGGAAGAGAATAGATATTTTGATAAAAAAAAAAGGCATTGCTGAAGTTTATTAATGTCATAAACGGTTAACAAATGAAGAGCACCAAGAAACTTTGTATGCTTGACGATTGGTATTTAGTCACCAATAAATATACTATCATTAATGTTTGCAACCAGTTTTGAATGACAAAAACCAAATAACATAAAATTGCATTTACTAATAAATTAATAGAAAGTTTGTTTATATTAAAATAATCATGTATGTTTTTTTATCAATTTGTGATTAAAGGTGTCAAAGATAGATTTAATTTATTTGAATAGAACACTGTGGTATAATCTGCATGAAGATAAAAAGTAAGAATTGTGGAGGCATTAGGCAAATCATTTATATAAAGTAAAAAATATCTGTAATAATTTTACTCATAACTTTGGCAATATTAGGTCAGTTTCAGTAAATGACCCATCATTTTAAAGGATATTTTGTTGAAAATAAGAATATATTAAAAACTCAGTTTTCATTTTTTATTCATTGATGATGGTTTTGGGATGGTAAGCCTCATATGTCTATACAGCATTTTATCTGGATTATAAATCTACTTATGAAAAAATATTATTTAGTGGTAATAGTTTTATTATTCCAAACTATGGGATTTGAATGTATTAACCTTACAACAAAGCTAAAATTTGTCTTAATAATCATAAGATATATTCATGACATATATTATGTGAATTATGTTTACAGACAGAGGAACTGATATCTGTCAAAGTCCATCCTTCAATGATGCAGCAGAGATTCCTGCTGATTGCATTGACTGTTTCTGTTTCGGAGTTACCTCAACTTGCTTCAGCAGTGGTTACTATGAGACTCAAGTAAATGATAATGCCTTACCTTCAACAATTCCTATAAGTGATGTAGTTAATAATAGTCATATAGTTAATTTATAAGTAAATCTATTTACCAACTGTATCTAACAGCACTGGTTACTTGCTTCAAATTTTACATTAATTTCGGAGTAGTGATTACGAAACAAACAGATGCTTTTGAACAAAATGTAGGCCTACAAGGTTTTCCTACCCAGCTGTATCAATGGGAACTAGCAGATTCTTGGGAGTAACCACCTCCGAACCAGTATCCCACCTAGGGGAAGCATCACACTCTCATCAACTTCATCAGGGGCGGATTTAGGGGGGGGGCCGGCCCCCCCTTTTGGGAGATAAAAAAAAGAAAAAAAAAAAGAAAGAAAAAGAAAAAAACGATAGCCCACAACGCCTCAAATGTTATTTTCGGGCGTCTAGAACACAAAAATTTTGCTGGGGCATGCCCCCGGACTCCCTAGGTCATTGTTGTCTCGATCGGCCCAAATTTCGGCCCCCCCCCCTTTGGACATCTCTGGATCCGCCTCTGTTCATGGTACTTTTAACTGGGGATAAGCTCCAGCCCATATGTGCCCTGTTGGTTAGCAAGGATTTACCTCTACAATCAGTAAACTAAGTCCAGTATGGTTTTTTGCTATGTTTGCTAATTTCTGACTTGGAGCAATCAAATTTGTTATTGCTTTCTGTCTGAACTTGTTTATGGTTGTTTTTCTTTGTGTTCTGTCCTTGGGGCAAGAGATTCAATTTCTCACCATACTCATCTTGTCTGCTGACCTCATTGATTTTCTATGAGTTATTTCCATGCTGATTTTGACTTGGTTATTGTTGGTATTATATTTATGTTCTTAATTGTTAATGGTGTAAATTTCTTCTGCTTTTTAGGTGAGCATTCCTTTCAATGTGCCAGATGATCTATTTGGTGTTCAGTTATTCAGAGATAATGATGGTAACTTAACACTGGTTTCAAGTCAAAATGTTCAAGTGTTCTCAGTTAGTGGTTTTATTGCTGCTCGCGAACTTGTACAGCTTCCTGCAGGAGATTATTACTGGTTTCTACCAGACCTTTTTACTGGTAACAAGGTAATTATATGTAATGGTTGGTGTATAATTTTTAATTAATCGATGTTCAACATAAACATAGAAATGTGTGAGACATAATACCTTATGCAACAATATTTGAATGCAGGGCTAGAAAAAGCGTGTGACCGGCGGTTGGAGGCATCATGAATGTTTTTTGGGGGGAAAATTAAAAGAAAAAACTGTTGGGCTATGTACCAGTAGCGTACAGATAAAATTTGTTGCTGGAGGCATTTTATCAAGACAGTTTTCATGGTCAGAGGCTATATATATGTATAATGTGTGTGTATATGTATGTATGTATATATGTGTGTATATGTATGTGTGTATGTATGTGTGGTATGTGTGTATACATTTATATATACTGGGGCCTTTACTTTTCAATGTTTGTGTAAACTCCCTGCCTGATGTAATTAAAGGTAAATGCGTAATGTACACAGATGACACAACAATTCTCTGCAGCTCCTCTAATACTACTGAAATGATATTAAAGCAAACCTTAATTATGTTGGTCAGTGGTTCAATAACAATATTACCTTTAAATGTAAAAAAAAAAATGTATGATACTTTGGAACACTCCATATGCTTCCTAAATTTTCTAATATTTCTCTTATCCATGGCAATACTAACATTGAAAAAGTAGATTGTTTTAAATATCTTTGCGTGTACTTTGCTTTAAATTGAACATGGGCTAAAATGTAACCAAATGCCTTTATTTGATTATTGCAGTTGCATTTGGTCTAACACTACAACAAATCTTTTAAATGAGCTCCAAATTCTCCAGAATAGGTTAGCAAGAATTATTCTTTCAGTCGACATTAAAACACCCATCAAGGATTTACTGGATGATTTAGGATGGAATAGGTTAACTGATAGGTGGAAGGAACACCTATTATTACTCACTTTTAAGTGAGTAATCCATCCTACTTAGGTAGGATGGGGCAATTCCATCCTACCTAAGTAACAAATTCATATTTAATCAAAATAACCACTCCCAGTGCACTAGAAATGAATCTAACAACACCTTGATGGAGCAAAAATGGAAACTCGCGCAAGGCAAGAGAACATACTTATACTGTGCAACTAAGGCTTGGAACAAACTTCCAAACCAAATTAAAATAGAATTAAATGACTCCAACTGAAAAATGTTAAAACTTTGATCAAATCGGAAAATTAATTTGGTCTCTCTCACCACCCTCTGTTCTCTTGCTGCCTTTTAAATTTAAATTAAATTTATTTAACTTGGTTCTTTTTCATTTTATTTTCTAAGTTTCTGTATAGTTATATTTATGTTCTATTTTGTTCTACTTTGGCATTTTTTATCTTTCCATTTCTTTTTTTGTTCATGTGATCCACTAGTGAGATCAGTGCTGTGTCACTGAAAGTGTTATCAAGTGTTATCATCATTAAAGGCAGAATAAATAATAGTAAAATAATAATAATGTATATATGTATATATAAATATATATGACAATATGTAGTTAATAAAAATGAACACATAAAATATAAAATATATATATATATTAGATATGTAAAAATATGTGCACCCATCATTAAGATGCCTCTAGATAATATATGTATATGTAAATATATTATAAAAAAAAAAAAATTTATATTTTGTAAAAACCAGGGTTTAAAAAGCCTGGCTTCCTTCTTGATATGCAGACATCTTAACTGGGCTTTCAAGTACAATCAGTGGCCGCTAATTCTCACTCATTTTTGTACATGTGTATGAGACAGCACAAGGTCACAATGCATTAGATCTGCTAAAGACCAATTGGTTTTACAAAGAGATATTGATCAGCAGTGGCGTAACGGTGGGGTTAGGGGAGCCCTGTGGCTTTCTGAGACTTTTCCCTTTCATTGGTGGCGCCAGCGGGGAGCGGAGGCCTTTATCCCTGCAGTCCAACACCACGACGATGTCATCGGTTAAAAAATCTAACAAAATATTATTTGCTTGTTGAAAATACCATTATTTTTATTGCCAATCCCAATTGTTGTGGTCTGAATACTAAGCACTAAAAACTCTCCCGTGAACCCTACCAAGGATTTTTTTTTTTTAATCAGGAACCAGGACCGAGGTTTTAGTCGCCCCTATGGAATTCAGACCCCCGTCGGACATGTCGGGCCCCCTGTCAGCAAATTTGTGAAGCCACCGCTGGGCTTTTTGGGTCTCAATCCCTAGTTCCATCGTAGGATTTTAAATGTGCTCATTTTTTAATCACGTTTTGTTATTGTTGTTCTAAATATTTTCAACGACGAATAAATAATATAATATCAGTGGTGGATTTGAAGAGATGGAGGGTCTACCCCCTCAGCCTCTACCATGGTTGGGGCTGAGGTAATAAAATTTATGATTGTGGCACCTCTGGATGGCGGGAAATAGCACTTGCAGACTTCTAACAGTCCTATTACAGCTCTTCTTACATTACAGTAATCAGTTTTATAATAATGTTTCTTTATTTTCAAAAATGGTTTGATTTTACATCAAAGTTTCCCATTCTGAATCACTGAAAACCCATTCTGAGTAAATTATTATATATTATTAAATATATTTTCAAATATTTTATTTCAGTACATGATCATAATTATATTTATGTTTTTGCAGCTGACAAGCTATGGTATGCATTTGAGTTACTCATTCCGTTACACGTATGAAGGTGCATCTGACTTTAAAGACGATGTCTATGATGTTCTGTTGAAGGTATTGATATCACCTTGATGTCCTTGAAAAACCTAATGTGAAACCAATGAATAATATCTTGTTTATAAATGTTGAATCCCAAAAGAAAAACTCAAGATATATAGCAGTGCGTTCAATATTTTACATATTAATCTTCAATTTACTATTAAACTAAAATGCACATAAATAATATGTTTAGGTCATTGTATTTCTGAATTTTTTTCTTTTTGGTTAATCCAATTGTCAATATTTGTAAGCAAATTCAGAAATATTCTATTTCCTCTGGCTGTTGTATTGATTGGTTTATAGAGTGGAGACATTGTTTTGGCTTACAAAGACCCAGTACCTGCACAACCTCAGGCTATCATTGACCGAAGAATACCATTGACAGAGGTAAGTCATTAAGGTAGGGTGAGGGTAATGGATGGTGTTTGTATTGTTTTATGAGGACCCACTGCCTGGACAAGCTGAGGTCATCGATGATGAAAGAACACCATTGATAAAGGTATTGCATAGATGGTGGTTTTAATGGTTAATTAGCCTCCACAAAGGAGCGAAGCTCCAAGGATGCTATCGTTTTTACCTAACAGCTTCCCCAAAGGAGTGACACTCCAGAGTGGCTATTGTTTTTACCTGTGTTCATATTGTTTTTACATGTGTTCATATTACTTTTACCTGTGTTCATATTACTTTTGCATGTCTTCATTTAGTTTTTTCCTATGTTCATATTACTTTTCCTGTGTTAATATTGCTTTTACCTGTGTTCATATTACTTTTTCCTGTGTTCATATTACTTTTTCCTGTGTTCATATTGCTTTTTCCTGTGTTCATATTACTTTTACCTGTGTTCATATTGTTTTTACATGTGTTCATATTACTCTTTTACCTGTGTTCATATTGCTTTTACATGTCTTCATTTAGTTTTTTCCTATGTTCATATTACTTTTCCTGTGTTAATATTGCTTTTACCTGTGTTCATATTACTTTTTCCTGTGTTCATATTACTTTTTCCTGTGTTCATATTGCTTTTTCCTGTGTTCATATTAAAATTGAATTGTTTGTTTGATTTTTATAGCGGTGCGGTCCAGGTTATTACCGAGATGCATCAGGTAATCAATACCTAGGATTGTGCACTGAGTGCAGAAACAGATGTAACGGTAATTCAAACGATTGTCATCCAGAAACTGGTGCTTGTAGAGTAAGTGGTTCATTTTCGTCACAATTTTTTACATAAATCACTAACACTTGTCGGCCATTTTTTAATAAATTGTGTACAGATCTTTTGTAAAGAATGCTTTTTTTTGTATCTTAATTATTTTTCAATGAATGGTGCAGATTGACTTATGTATAGGCATTTTAGTTTAAATAAGTGAATTTAAACTATGGAAATTGTAATATTTTTAATAAATTTTCTTAAAATTTTGTTGTAGAATTGTGAATTCAACACAGCAGGAAATGCTTGTGATGTATGCGCTGATGGCTACTATGGAGACCCATTGGGAGGCCGCCCGTGTAAGCCCTGTCCATGTCCTTTGGAAGTTGAATCCAACCAGTTAGTGATCTGTTTGATATCTTATTTAGCTTTTTCCTAATAAACAATCAATTAAAGAATCACTCCAAATTCTTGGCTGTGACTCACAGCATTGGATACATCGTTCTATCACGTTTTCCGATCATGATGCATAACTGTGCTTTTAGGATTATGAAATTCAATAGAATGTGCTAAAAATGGTCAGTAGTTCTGGACTTACACATAGTCTTTACATTGCTATAGGTTCTCTAGGACATGCTACATGGATCCTACGGATAATTTACCAACTTGCGACAGGTGTCCACAAGGCTATGAAGGGAGACAATGTGAAAGGTGCTGCATGTTATGTGAATTAGTTAAATTAATAATATAAATAAAATTTTAAGATTAATAATGAAAAGTTATATGAATTGATTCATTAATCAACAATTATTCAGCCAATCAATCATTCAACAATCATTTACTGTATATGGCACTATATTTGCTGCAAGGATTTGCCTTGCCAAAAAAATTGTTTTAAATTATTGTTAATTGACATTCATTTATTTGTCATTTTCTAATTTCAGGTGCTCTAAATATTTTGTTGGAAACCCAATGGAAATTGGCAGCTCTTGTAACCTACAAGGTAGATAAACATATATATAAGATGTACCGTTATTTGGGCTATACCATTTTTTGGTTGCACCAAAAGTAACTATGTACGTAAGCTTGTACTGATAGTTTTTAAAATCACATTTCTATATATTCCAGGTACATTCTGTGATAGCGATGGATATTCCAGTATAGATAACAACGGAGATTGTGTATGCAAGGTAAATTTGTACATCCCATATTTGGGTACATTTAATTTGCTTTAAATGATACAGTTTACAGGGGCGGATCCAGAAATGTCCAAAAGGGGGGGCCGAAAGTTGGGCCGATTGAGACAACAGTGTCGTAGGGGGACCGGGGCATGCCCCCGCGATTTTTTTGTGTTCTAGACGCCCAAACTTAACATTTGAGGCATTCTGGGCTTTCATTTTTTTCTTTTTCTCTCTTTTTTTTCATTTTTTTTCATTTTTTTACCTCCCAAAAGGGGGGGCCGGGGCCGGGCCGGCCCCCCCTAAATCCGCCCCTGGTTTACCTCATTTTGGCTCACAAGCTGATGATGATGATAATAGTGATGATGATCATAATGAGGATGATGATAATGATGTTGATGAAGAATTATAAGATTGAATAAGAAATGTTATGAATGCCAATGATTGTAATTCCCTTCCATATAAGTTCTGTACGAACTTTACAACAACAAATTAAAACAAACAGGGTAATAATACAGTTACAGAGACAAACATTTATAAAAATCCGCAAAGTAAACATCTATCCAGGGTCCTAAGTTGGAAGAAGTCAGTTGCAGGAGATCTGGTTAATGAGCTTTCCTAACACATTCAAATCCACAAAGTAAACATCTATCCAGGGTCCTAAGTTGGAAGAAGTCAGTTGCAGGAGATCTGGTTAATGAGCTTTCCTAACACATTCAATTTCCTTTTGTTATGCATGGTGATGCCCATTGCCACTGATTTCTGTGAGACAATTGATAATAAAGTACTAAAAACCTGCACATATGAATTTGTGGAAGATGAGTTATTTTCCAGGAGATTCTTCATTGTTTGCGAGAAAGGGGAGACTGACCCAATTTCCAGGAAGCTCCCATAATTTATGGGAGATTCGGGACCCTGACTCTCAAAAAACAATAGTTTTAGGCTTGATTTTAAGTAGCCACTACCTAGTGTTAGGAATATTCATAATTGGAATGTTGCTATATATAATTTAAAGTATAAATAATAGTGTAATAAACACTTGTTGTAATTGAGGTTTGACAATGATGTAGGCAACAGCTTTTGCATTAGTTTAATTTTAGTTTTTGTATTTATAGGAGTAATAACAGGTGGATTTGTAAAGCACAATATTCAAAGTCCCTGTTACTTTTTCATCTATTTAGTAAAACTTTAGTTAGATATTGTAAAGTTCATATTTACATTGGTTGTTTCACCTCATTTTCTCTCTTTTTTCCAGGAAAATGTTGAAGGGGACAAGTGTAATAGTTGTAAACCTAAAACATTCTTCCTTGGTCCCAAGAACCCAAAGGGCTGTATCTCTTGCTTCTGTATGGGTGTGTCTACTGATTGTAGCAGTTCAACATGGAGTAGAGATTCGGTAACTGCCATGAAAATAATGACAAATAATATATTAATGCTCAGATTAAGAAATGATGAAAAGATAAAGCTGTGACCATTCCAACTAACCTTTGAATAATAAAATTACAATTTTCTCAGCTGTACATCAGGTTCCAAAGAGTTGGTGAGACATTTGACATCACACTCAGTGATCCAAGTGCAGAAGACACTGGTGCCAACCTTGTAGTACGACCAGCTGCCAGAGAGCTCTCCTTCAGTTCATTTGGCACACTGCCAAGAGACACTTTTTACTGGAACTTACCAGAAGATTTTACTGGAAACAAGGTAATTATTTATTTATAATCATTGTTGAATATTCAATTAATGATATATGTAGTACCTGTCTCTTATACACATCTAGATGTGTATAAGAGACAGTGTAACCTACAAGGTAGATAAACATATATATAAGATGTACCGTTATTTGGGCTATACCATTTTTTGGTTGCACCAAAAGTAACTATGTACGTAAGCTTGTACTGATAGTTTTTAAAATCACATTTCTATATATTCCAGGTACATTCTGTGATAGCGATGGATATTCCAGTATAGCGTGATTTAATATCCAATTACAATATATGCGATTGACTGTTATTTTCCCATCACACTCATTTTGTATGTTTGATCTTTCAGCTGACATCTTATGGTGGCAATCTGCGCTACTCTATTGCATATAGAGCAGCTCCAAGTGGATCCCCGACTCTTGAACCAGATGTCATCATTGTGGTGAGTCTCTAAATCAATAGCAACCAAATTCTTTTTGGAAAGGGCTTATGGGATGATTTTTACACACGTCAATTTTACGAATAGTCGATTTTACAAATGGCCTTTGCCCCTGAAGACTTCATCATTAGTCAATTTCTACCATAAAAAAGTCTGATTGCGCAAGTTTTACAAAGTGATAATGTATATTTTTCTTAGTAAAATCAAGTTGTATTTGTATTTATTTATTTATTAATATTTCGATCTTGTCTTCCATTTCTGGTACAATAATCACTATATTAATGTAATAAACGTAACCAGAACAACAAACTACCAACGCAAGTGTTGGATTTTGAGCACACATGTTTACCATGACGAATGAGAGTGTTGGGGTCAGCACCTTATTGACATCGCGAAATGAATGTAAACAACACAATTAGGTGATCTAACAACTAGAAAGAACACAATAGAAAGGGCCATAAATCATACAGATGTTTGAATAAGAGTTAAAATGTTTTGTTAAGTGGAAGAATGACGGTGATTAAAGTAACTTGGTTTTTATCTATGGTGAATTCAGCTAGGCTCTAGCGTGGTAGACCATGGAGCTGTTGCACTATCGTTTTGTGATAGGCCTGGCCTCGGTCAGCCTATCGGCGCTCAATGGCAGGGGATAGCTAGGCCTAGATTTGAAACTGACATTTGATTTTCCAATTTACGAACACCCCTTGGTACAAAGGGGTACGTAAAATGGACGTTTTACTGTATACATTTTGTTCATAATTAAACTTACTGAACTTTTATAGTTTTAAAGCCTGCAATTTGTAATATATGCAAAAGTTATTCACTGTTTCAGGGCAATGGTCTGCGGCTTTATCATTACTCTAATGTTACCTTAACACCAGATCAAAAACAAAGTGTCTCTGTTCCATTCTTTGAGGTAAAATCAGTTTATATATACTGGTATTTTGTTATGTCATTTCCACCATTTGCAATGCATTATTCACAATGAAGATCTTGAAGTTGATGATCACATGGATGAGAATGATGATCACACCAATGAGTGATCATGCAGTGAATACTCAGATGAAAAAGATATGCAGTTGATGATGATTACACAGATGCAAAAGATATGCAGTTGATGATGATGACATAAATGAAAATGACCATGCAGTTAGATGATGATGACATAGATGAGAATGATCATGCAATTGATGATGATCACATGGATGAGAATGATCATGCAGTTGATGATCACCAATGAGTGACCATGCAGTTGATGATGATGACATAGATGAAAAAGATATGCTGTTGATGATGATGGCATAAATGAAAATGATCATGCAGTTGATGATCACATGGATGAGAATGATCTACAAATTGATGATGATCACATGAGAATAATCATGCAGTTGATGATAACATGGATGAGAATGATCATGCAGTTGATGATGATGATGACATGGATGAGAATGATCACATGAGAATGATCATGCAGTTGGTTGTGGTCACATGGATGAGAATGATCATGCAGTTGATGATCATCACATGAGAATGATCATGCAGTTGATGATGATGATGACATGGATGAGAATGATCACATGAGAATGATCATGCAGTTGGTTGTGGTCACATGGATGAGAATGATCATGCAGTTGATGATCATCACATGAGAATGATCATGCAGTTGATGGTGAACACTTGGATGAGAATGATCATGCAGTTGATGATGATCACATGGATGAGAATGATCATGCAGTTGATGATGATCACATGAGAATGATCATGAAGTTGATGATGATCTTGTGGATGAGAATGATCTACCAGTTGATGATCGATCGCATGGTGGAGAACGATCTACCAGTTAACGGTCACATTTAATGAGAATGATCTACCAGTTAATGATGATCACATGGATCAGAAAGATCATAGCAGTTGATGATGATCACATGGATGAGAATGGTCATGCAGTTTATGTAGTGATCTTGTGAGAAATAATCATGTTGTGTTTCTATTCTTTTTTATAATGTAGAATGCATGGAAAAGACCAGATGGTGATCCAGTACCACGAGAGATATTTATGATGGCTATCACAAAGCTTAATTCCTTGCTTATCCGTGCTTCTTACAGTACACAGATGACAGAAACAAGGTTAGTGTTATGAAGAAAAAGAATTCTCTTTTCATTTAACATTTCATTATTATTATCTTTAGATGCACTCTTATATAATACAGCTATCAATACCTTCATTTTTAATCACCTGTATCCCAGCAAACACAAAACGTTCGTATAACGTTCGCAAACGTTGTGGCTAGGTATGTAACATAATAACGTTCAAGCGTCGTGACATTGTCAAATTAGATTATAAGTACGTACATACGGTTCTACATAATAATGTTTTTATCACCAAACTGTAACGTTTATTATAACATACTTAGAACATAATATTGTTAGCTGGGATTATCCCTATGATCGATATCAACATTATTATCACCATCGTCACCATTATCATCATCACTACCATCTCTTCACATTAATCATTCATTAACAATAGAAGAATTCAACATACAAGATTAGAATTTGTAATCTAAATCTAAACTGTAATTTTAATTTACATAAAAATTATAGAAATCCATCATAAACCTACAAATTAGCGTATGAATAGTTTACTACAGTACTTCTGCTTCCAGCAAGGAAAGAAATAAAATGTAAATACAAAAAAGATTGCCATAGTAATTGATAATGATAACACCTTCACTTTGGTCACTAGTGGTGAAGGGTCAGGTCTAAATGATGATTACAGTGATGATGAGGAAGAGGCAGATGGAAGGCTGATAAATGCTGAGTAGGTTCTAAATTATTTGTTAACACAGCAATGGCTGCCGGTCTATGTGTTGCAATTGTTCTTAGTCTCAACAAAGGGCATACCTCTTTTGTGGGGATTGTATTGTGTCTGACTTTGTTTTAGTATCATGTTGTATCTGTTGGGTCTAGAAATCTGAGGCCCACCCTTGACATTCTACACCTAGCAGTACTTAAATGGGTCAAGAAACATTTAGGCACACTCCTGATATTATAGCCTGGCAGTGTCTGTCTAGGTCACGAAAGAGCAACTCTCTCATGGATTGTATTTTGTTTGTTTCTGTTCTACTCGTCGAGTGTGACATACGTTTCTGTTCAACAACTAGTAAAACATTTAATTCACAAGATGAGATGGTAAACACATGTGTAAGATGAGGAAACCATATGAAAATCATTTAAAAAATCATGCTCCCTCAAAATTAATACACCTTTAAATTAATAATGTGCCCTCAAATTGGCACATTGAGACTAGTACTTGTATAATGTGCCTTATAAGTTGAAGATTTGATTGGATTGGACGGTTTTTTATGTTTTTTTTTTTTATTCTTATTTATTGTTATTGTCTTATGTTCATTTGATATTTTGTTGAATGTATGTGCTATTTCTGCAATTGCTTATCACACCATTGGACAGAGTTTCTTTAGTAGCACTTTTTCTATCTTAATGTGAGACTACTGTAACTCTATCCTCTCCTTCAGAATGTAGATCTCACTTTAGTAGTTTACTAACTTGCACAAAGCATGAATCCAACTAAAGTTGCCACCAATTATTTTGGTGTCCATATAGATAACACAAAAGTGCCCTCTAGATTTATATTTTACAAAAAAAATTGTTTAGTGGATGCAGTCTATGAAAATACACCTTCTTGTTCAACACATTGGCAACTTGAGGATTATTGATACTTCAAAGGATGTATTATTATGTTCACTTAGTTATTTTCTAAATCTTGTATTTAATTTTATTCCGGTATAAGATTAGCAATCAGCAGCCAATGGCTGAATTTGATTGCTTTACATTAAAAAACATTGATAAACACTTTTGTTAAAAGTACTTTAGTTTATAATAATGGCACGTCCCTCATGACACAACATTTCCTACTTGTACATGAAATAATTATGTAGGTCTTGTTGGTAAATACATGCGAAGTTTGTCAGTAATGGATGTCTCTATTATGTAGTGCAAGTATTAAGCGTACGATGAAATAGACAAATCCATAGCTAAAGAATGATAAATGTATTTTCTTTCATCAAAACTATCCTTTTTTTTTTTAAATATTTGTCGCAACTTCTAGTATACAAGACGTTTCATTAGATGTTGCGTATGAATATGATACTGGCCGAGACCTCGCATATGAGGTTGAACAGTGTGTTTGTCCTCCAGCCTATGAAGGGCTTTCTTGTGAAGTAAGTATCTATGTTTGGGCCTTATGTTCCCATTCAATAGCAAAGCAGCTTTTCAATTCTGTATTTTTAATTTTGTATTCTGTATCCCTTTTTGGTTGCAGTGCAATAAGACCACTATATTTTTTTGATAATGATTTTTTGAATTATTTCAGCGATGTTCACCTGGTTTTACTAGAACTGGAGCTGGCCTTTACCTTGGTTTCTGTGGTCCTTGTGATTGTAATGGACATTCAGATCAATGTGACCCTGAAAGTGGTATCTGCAGGGTATCTATACATTTATATTTAATATATATTGATACACAGATAATATTGATAGATGAATGGATTGATGGATATTTTGATTAAATAATATTGTTGACTAGATTTTTTTTAAAATAAATGGATCATTTTATAGATGGATGCATTTTTTTTTAATTAATGGAATGGATTAATGAATGGAAAATTGATTGATTGATAGACAGATTGGTATGATGTTTGGATTGATGGATATATGGATTGATGGGTGTATTAATTTACAAGTTCATTCATAGTTTTATCCTAGAGGCCAAAATTGGCTTTTGAGGATTTTCTTGTCAAGTATCAAGTAAGATACTTACCGTTTAATAGCTCTACCAATTGACTTATGGATTGGCTTATCAATATTTTTATGTTTTCCTGGTAGAATTGCCTTGACAACACTGTAGGTAATTATTGTGAAAGTTGTGCACCTGGTTACTATGGTGATGCAAGACAAGGATCTCCATCAGACTGTCGGCCGTGCCCATGCCCGTAAGTTAAAAGTATTTCATCAAACTATTAGTAAAAGATGTGGAAAGCAAAATTTCTAGGGACAATGGATTTAATAGAAATGTTTCAGAAAGAACAGTATCTGGGTATGATAGGAGTGTTAAAGAAGAAAAAAAAACAAAAAAAAACAAGCAATAATGTAATAGAGGTTTTTTAGGCAAGGGAATTTTCATAAATGAATGAATGTATGAGTATGATGTCACATGAAGATTAGAAAAACAACAATTAAGAGGTTTATGTAAAGTTATTTTTACATAATGTTTATTGATTGATTTAAAAAAGTTATACTTACTGTAGAAGGCCTTGTTTAGTAGTGTCAATAGTTGTTGTCTAATTTATTTGATTTGTTTTTCTTTGAAGCGGTGGTACATCATGTGAATATAATGCAAATTTTGTTGTGGTGTGTACAAATTGCCCTACTGGAACAACCGGAGACAAGTGTCTAGAGTAAGTCCTAACATATTTATTATTACTTTTAGTTAAAATGTTCAAAATGTTACGCTTACACCAGCATGAGTTGATCTCTCTAGACCAACTTTTTGGCCGACAACCCAAGTAAACACCCAGGCAGTTTGCTGCATGATCAACCTCCTGGGATGATGTAGATAGGAGAACAAAATCAAACTTAAACAAAATGTAATATTGATTTTTTAAGGTGTGCTCCAGGGTTTGAGTGGAACGGAATTCAGTGTGTCCAAAGTAAGTGCCTTACAAAAAGCAATTATTTTTTACAAGTTGTTGATTAGCGTGTATCACAATTAATAATTTGTATGCTCAATTTCAATTGAGGCTTGCCTTTTAATCATGTTTTGCTACTTTGATTTTGTAGTGTTGTAATAATATATTTTTAATGTCTTATACAGAAATAACTTTTTAATATAAAATTATCATTTCTGGTGGTGGCGGTGCTGCTTGGATCAATCGCGTCATACAGTTTGATAATTATTAGAAACACTATTTTGAAAGAACTAAATCTATTGTTTTAATTTAATAAATATATACATTTTTCATTTATTAGAAAATTGGTTTTTGCATTTAAAAATATTTAAAAATAATTAAATTTGATTAATCTTGTTTCAGGGGGACCTTGTAATTGTGACCTAGATGGCAGTATTAACAATAATTGCCTAGAAGAACGAGGGGACATTCCAAGAACACTCTGTCCATGCAAGGTAACAAGATATTTTATTTTATGAATATTGATAAATGCATATGAATAAGCAATTATTGTCAAGCTTTTAGGCACTGTTTATTCCTGAAGTGTTATAGGTAAAAAATTTTCCCGTTTTCCTTGTTCAACATAAAAGTGAAAACCAAGCAACATTGTTGGTTTGCTCTTCATAAAGATCTGTGTATGCAAAATTTTATTACAATTGTTAGATTTATATATTATTTTATTTTTTTACAGAATCATGTTTTTAGAGTATGAATCATTTTATATATATTTTCTTTTGAAGTTTATTAATCATTCGATCTTATTGAAACAGACCTTTGTTACTGGTGACAGATGTGATCAATGTCAACCAAAATATTACAACTTAGCCGCCTCAAACCCTGATGGATGTCTCCGATGTTTCTGTATGGGTGTTACGTCTGACTGTAACAGCTCTCCTTACTTCAGAGACAGGGTGAGTTATGTATGCGTTTACACCTGTATTTAATAAATTTGAATTTTGCAGAGTTGTAGGAGCATATGATATTAAATATATATTTAAAATTCAAGATTATATGTAAATTATTAAAAGCATATTCAATCTGTAATCACTTTATTCAAATATGAAATAAAGGAATACATATACATAAAAACCTAGTTCAATTTTCATTAAAATATACAAATACAAAAGTGACACATTACAAGTACACTTAGAATTCTTCAAACAGGTGATACAAAAAAAAATGAAATGAAATGTATACAGTTTATTGTATTATTATGCTTTTAAGTGCAAACAGGTCCTATTGGTGTATTTTGTATCTCAAAAAAATAATCAATCCTTTTCTTTGCTTATAGATTTATCTTACATTCCCCACCTCTGTTAATCCAGTGGGAACTCGTCTTGTGAATAGCGACCAATCGGCATCCTATGATGGACCATTTTCTATTAATGTTGCAGAGCAAGAGATTTACTTTACTCAATTCCAGGACCTAAATCCTGATACCTATTACTGGAAACTCCCATCAAAGTTTCTTGGTGATCAGGTAACTCAGTTGAACATTGTTTTGTTATACTTCTTGCTCTGTATTTTCTTATAAATCACACCCCACACATTCAACCACATATTCTACATTTTACTTTATAGCCTATCTCACAGCCTATTTCATACCCCACAATTTACAACTTTATAACCTATATCTCTTACATCTTTGACCTCTATCCAATATCTTGTTACAATCCATGCTTTATGTCTGTCTATCAACATGTTTTATTTCTTGATAGTTGACAGCCTATGGAGGAAGCCTAAGATTCACCATCAACTACAGAATTGGGTCTGTTGGTGGTATTCAAAGCCAAGACCCTGAGGTCCTACAGCTTGCAGTAAGTCCCTTTGTCTTTACAATTGAAACTTTGTACTGAAAAATCCTGCAAATACCTCTAGTTCTTTTGTCACATAATTTTGAATATTAAGAGAATTGTTTGAATTCTTAATATCATTGGTTTTCATCTTGCTCAATGTAGCAATAAAATAATTAAATTACAAACCATAATAAAAAATAATGTTAATAGGAATGAGAAAGTGGATGTAACCTGAAGAAAATGATAAGAAAATAATAACTGATGAATATTTTATTAATTTCATAGGTTGACTGTGATTGTTTTGTTTTACAGGGTAATGACATCACATTGATATACCGTGCTGATGAAGTGATACGGCCTGGTCAAACAAGGATCTTTGATGTTCCACTTGTAGAGGTAAGACAGGAATAACAGTAGACATCAGTTGATGTTAAGTACATAACTTTATTTGAAATATTCCGTTGCTGGAGGACAGGTGTATTGTATAACTTGAGGACAATCACTGAATTCCCTCTACCCAAATGTAATATACAAACAGAAACTATATTATTAATACCAGGCTGTCTAACAGGTGGTAAGTTCTCCCTGCACAGTTAGATGGACTTTTTTGTTTGTTAAATGCCATGCTATATTCTTAATCATTTCCTTGTTTGTACTTCTTTATTTTTTTGATTTTTAGATTTGTCTGAAATTGTTCAACTTCAATTTATTTTATATAGATTGCAATTTATTTTTTTTATTTATTCATTTTTTTCATTCAGATATAAACATATAAAAAAAAACAATTACAAAACAGCAGCCAAAGCTGACATGGTTTGCATCACAAAACCTATTCACAAAAAATTATTTACAAATGCAAAACAGCAAAACACAAAAGCTAAGAAACATCATAAATTCATTACAAAAACAAAAAAGGTCAAATAACTATTATCATCAATTATAAAAAATACAAAAGAAGGTCACTTTATTATCATTATCATTAAATTTTAGTTGCTGAAGTTTAAATTATAATTGTACTGTAAAATATTGCACATTTCCTGTTATTGGTATTCTTATACATTATCAATTTCATCAATTTATTTAAAAGATCAAAATATTGCAATTTTCATTAAATTATTATTATTTTACGAATTTATTTCAGAAATAAATTTGTTATTATATTGTATCGTATGGTTCAAATTTGAACAATTATATAGCAGTATTGATCATTGTGCAGTGTTCACTGTTATAACATATTTTGAGGAGCAGATTTCCTAAGTTTTTCCTTTAAGATTGTTACATATTTTTTAAGTATGGTTAATAATAAAATGATAATTTTGTTCGTTTGTTTGGTAAGTATCCATTATTATCAATGTAGCAAATGTTAAAAATGATGTTGGTTTTTTTTCAGTCATCATTTGTGCGTCCTGATGGTGAGAGAGCAACTCGTGAACATATCATGATGATCCTAGCAGATCTTGATACAATTCTCATCCGTGCTTCCTACCACACCGGCACTGTTGAAAGCAGATTGCGAGGTGTTTCCATGGACAATGCTGGTATTTACTCATTTCACATTTAGTAATGAATGAAAAATTATATATTTAATACAAGATATAAAATTCACAAAGAGTTTAATTACATGTTATTAACACTAATTGTCTTTTATTTCTTCTTTATTGTTTCTGTGACCAGAGTAGTATTGTAAAATATTTCTAGACAAATGTAGAAAGTGCTATACATGTATGGACAAAAATAAATTGTAGCTCCGCCCATTAAAACTTGTTCTAATAAAATGCTTTCAGAACTACATGTTAGGCGAGATCGTCAGAAGAGGGTGGAAAACAAATAAAACTAAAGTTTTGTTTTCTTATTTAGCAAATGGTTTTGCCAAGAACATCCAGACAGGAGAATATAAAAATAAAATTTCATTTATTGAATGTAACAGTGTAGTAATGGGATGGTTAAAGTTTGTGTAATTAGGAAGAAATATACATAATTTATTTTTGGAGATTTTGTAGCAGTGGCAGGCGTATTAAAAATATAGAAAACTTTTTTTTTCAGAAATTTCTATTATTTCATGGCAGGGGGTTCGCTAATTGGCAAAAAATGAAATTGTATTTCTTTGTCATCTAGGTAGGGGTCTTGAATTACACTACAGTGGAGTAGGATGGTGATATCTCTAAAATATTGCATTTTTGTAGAGCCAGTTTTGGTTTACTTCATTTTATTTTTATGTGAAGTGTATAGAAGCTTTTGCATTACGCACTATATAAATGTAACATTATTATTATTATTGTTATTATTATTATTGTTATTATTATTATTATTATTGTTATTATTGTTATTGTTTTTATTATTATTGTTATTATTATTATTATTATTATTCAAAATCATCATTATTGGTGGGTTTGCTAAACAAGGTATTAAAATAGTCTGCATGCTATATAAACCATCTTTGGTAGTCTGGAGTATGCAAAAGAAAATAAAATAAAATAAATTTGATGTGAAGTAAGGCCTAGAGGTCACTATATTGTCCAAAAGTGGATATTTTTTTTCGTCCAGAGAACAATAAGACTGACAAAAAAATGATACAGGATAGTAATTAACAACTCAATTGTCCAGACTGAGAATTGCCAAAAAGTGAGCTAAATCACTGTCAAGTGCTCTCTTATGAGAAAAGGAACAAAAACATTACCTCTGGGCACATGCGTAATATCTCTGCATACTATGTGAATGTAATGGTCATTCTGAGGAGTGCGACCCTGAGACTGGTGTTTGCTCAGTAAGTGTTCTTTTCCTCATCATACTTTTGTAACTTAACATGTTATTTTGCAAATGTTTTATCTTCTTGTTCTGAGATTTTTTACTGCATTTCTTTATTACACTTTATTGTTGTTAATTTCTAGATAATATTGTATTACCGTAAATCATATAAACTGCATTTTTACACAAAGGAATGAAAAAGTTAGACTTTGCTTCTGATAAAATTTTATTTCTTCTTAATTGAAATTTTCAACCTTATTGATCTTTCTATTTTTTTTTAGGGTTGCCGTGACAACACATTTGGTGATTTCTGTGAATTGTGTAAACCTGGTTACTATCAAGGTGATGCGTCAGTTGGTTGCAGGCAGTGTGCTTGCCCTCTTACTGCACCTTCAAACAAGTAAGTATTGCTTCTTACTATTTCCTCTCACTCAAAGTGCTACTGTTTACATCCAATTAATGTACATAGAAATAATGTAATTAAGACAATACCAAAAATCTATAATTTGCCAAAAGTCTATAGAAAACTATTAAAATGGCTCCCCAGCAGATATTTAAGTAATCTAGATACAGTATCTAGAGCTGACCTCATTCAGATTTTTAACACTGATTTGAGGTCATAGCTTTTGAATTCAGTCTACTTTATACAGATCTGAGGTTCGCAGACATGCTTTTTTGTATGCTCAATAAATTAATGGAACTCACTACCAAATTTTGTTAATTGTTGTAATAATTGCTAAATCTATAAATCAGTTTAAAACCTTACTTGCAAAAGCTCACAAAAACCACTCGGAACTCTACAATCCATTGAACTTTTATGCCCATGCATGAGGGGCTCATAAGCAAGATGCTTCAACAGTCTCTAACTACCATGTAAACAAGTAGATATAGTTATGTTTTTTATAATTGTGGTTTGTTTCATGAAATGTTAATTTTTGCAGCTTCTCACCACTCTGTGAATTAGATAATCTGAACAACCTCCGCTGTACTGCATGTCCTGAGGGATATGAAGGCAGTAGATGTGAAAGGTCAGTTGACAAATTGTTATTGATTTTGTAAAATCGTTCCAGTGCTTCTATGGTTTAAGTTTATAATTCTACTTAATACATAATATAAATAATTTAGTTTTTTTTTAAAGACTTAACCAACCAAAAATTTATTTTTCACCTGTGTGAAATGTGTTTTATGAATAAGGCTACAAAGGGTTATACTTTATTGAAGTTATGCTTTGATGCTAACATGTATTATTGATTTTAAAACAGATCAGCATTTTGGGTTAATTTAATAATAATTTGTATGTATTTGAAATATAGATGTGCGGCAGGATATATTGGTTCTCCAACAGTCCTCAACGGCAAATGTTCATTGGATCAATGTAAGTCATTTCTTGTAATGAAGTTAAGAATTCAGTTTATTTTATAACAAAGAAGCGTTTTTGCTATTTATAGAATGTATGGTTTAGTAGTTCAGGGGTGTCATTTTAAGCCGGCCGCTGGCGCAATCTCCGTCTATTATGATTTTTACCGGAGGTAAAAACAAAATAAGGGCCTGAAATCTAGGCTCATCATGGGCTGGTCCTTGCCAGGCCCCAAGAACCAATACTTTATTTTTTAAATACAGAATCTAATGTCGTAAATCATAATATTTCTTGACCAAGCAAGTACTGTACTTGTTAAACAAGAATTCCTATTCTTTTAAAAGCCATTATTGAACAACGCACGATCCCCGACACGATCAAAGCGAGGGCAAATCAACCCACATGGGGAATCCCGGAATTGGTTCGCACGTATTCTTGTAAACAAGTTCGACTCAAAATTGAACCACAGAGCAGGCTTGGTTTTTCGTAATATAATTTTGCTGGTATATTGAAAAACGTAATTTATCTTGGTACAGTAATATGTGTTTCAATCATTTAATAAATTTATTATTCATTGTGTAAACTTTTCAAAATATAAGTGATGAGCTGGAAATATTTGTGTTCTTTTCACTCTACTCGCATCATTTTTGAATGACCACACTTGATTGAAGAAGACCACATGCATGCGGTCTGTCTCTTATACACATCTCATACTATGTGAATGTAATGGTCATTCTGAGGAGTGCGACCCTGAGACTGGTGTTTGCTCAGTAAGTGTTCTTTTCCTCATCATACTTTTGTAACTTAACATGTTATTTTGCAAATGTTTTATCTTCTTGTTCTGAGATTTTTTACTGCATTTCTTTATTACACTTTATTGTTGTTAATTTCTAGATAATATTGTATTACCGTAAATCATATAAACTGCATTTTTACACAAAGGAATGAAAAAGTTAGACTTTGCTTCTGATAAAATTTTATTTCTTCTTAATTGAAATTTTCAACCTTATTGATCTTTCTATTTTTTTTTAGGGTTGCCGTGACAACACATTTGGTGATTTCTGTGAATTGTGTAAACCTGGTTACTATCAAGGTGATGCGTCAGTTGGTTGCAGGCAGTGTGCTTGCCCTCTTACTGCACCTTCAAACAAGTAAGTATTGCTTCTTACTATTTCCTCTCACTCAAAGTGCTACTGTTTACATCCAATTAATGTACATAGAAATAATGTAATTAAGACAATACCAAAAATCTATAATTTGCCAAAAGTCTATAGAAAACTATTAAAATGGCTCCCCAGCAGATATTTAAGTAATCTAGATACAGTATCTAGAGCTGACCTCATTCAGATTTTTAACACTGATTTGAGGTCATAGCTTTTGAATTCAGTCTACTTTATACAGATCTGAGGTTCGCAGACATGCTTTTTTGTGTTTCATAATAAATAATTATATTGATATATTTCTATTTAAGTATTTGTTATTTTTCCAAGGTTTCTTACACATTAGCATGGATGAAGGAAGGTGGTGCTCTGCCACAAAAGGCAGAAGCTTTGCCTAATGGTGATTTAATAATAAACAATGTTGATCAGTCTGATGAAGGTGTTTATGCATGCATTGGTTCAAACATGTTTGAGATGGACAAGACCATGGTTAGTCTTCGAATTAGAGGTATGTACAACTAACATATCTTCAAGATTCATAGAGTTTAACAACTTATTTTATTTATTTATTTTATAATAGTTCGACCAAACAATACAAGAACATGTTACATGAAAACATTTTAAAAATTAGATCGAAAAACAGCAACCCACAGATAAAGATTAAACTAGATTTGAACTCGTCACTGAGGACGAGTTTGGTGATCTGCTTGTCAGCCAAAGGAAATCTCTCCGCGCTTAAAAGTATGAATTATGGAAATCTACCGTAGCTAGGATTTTCAAACAGTGCAAGACAATATCAAGTCTGCCGCACTCTCGTTGGGGTTCTGATAAAAACAGAAGAAAGAAAGAGGTGGGGAGGAGTCAGAAAAACATTCATTTTGACCATGATGACGTCATCAAAGTGAGAAATGAATGACACATTGTGAAAGCAAACCGTCTCAGCTATAACATACTCAAATGTGGGAGAGGATTGATCAACAATAAGCGAGATATGTTCAAGTGAATATAAAAATTATGACGTTATAAATAAAAAATCAGTTTTGTAAAATTCAGATGGCAATATGATAAACGTCAAAGTGTCCGATCAGCCATAATGATCTATAAAATCATATCTACAACTCATGTGCTTTCAGAATATGTAATAAAAATTGGGGGTCACCTTTCATCCTAAGGAGCTATAACTGATTGAAAATACTGTAGGCATAATTTTAGTCATATATAAATTTTGACGCACATGTACGCACACGCTAAAATACGCGAATGGAATATTAAGGTACATGACATTCAACCTTGACCTAAAGTTTATCCTCACTGAATATGATTCAGAAATGATGAATGGTTAAGATGATATGGGGTTATAAATGTTTTGAAGAAAGAAAGATTAGGGGGAGGTCAGAAAAAACATTTATTTTGACCATGATGACATCATCAAATGTAAAAAGAAGTCACATATATGAAAGAGAATTGTCTCGGCTATAACATACTCAAAGTTGGGAGATGATCGATCAAGTATAAGTGAGATACGCTCAAATGCGCATTTTCAAAAATGACATCATAGATAAAATTCAGTTTCTTTGAATTTAGATGGCAATATGATGATCACAATATCCGATCAGCCATTATGATCTATAAAATCATGTATACTCATGTGCTTTCAGAATATGTGATAAAAAATGATGGTTACCATTCATCCTAAGGAGCTATAACTGAATAAGAATTGGCCTGATTTTAGCATATTTTCGCTGTATAGCGGCACAAGCTAGCGCAAAGATCCCTATGTTTGATGCGCGCGTACGGCATAATATGACCGAAAAGAATGGAAGTTTGAGAAAACAATGTCAGGAACCCAATATATTTAAATAAACATAATTTCTAGCTTACATACATGCTGCACGCGTAAAAATGTGTGCGTGTAGTGGAAAATGTAACAAAATTTTGAAATGCTCAAAATGACATGAAACATGCTCTAATTTAGTCAAAAAGTGATTTTGAGCATTTTAAAATTAAGACGCATGCGTGCGCGCATGTTATGACGCGCATGCAAAATATTTCGGTAGGTGATATTCAACCTTGACCTAAAGTTTATGCCTACTTATTATGATTGAGAAATGACAATTGGTTAGGATAATATGGTCGATAATGTAAAAACGCAAAATTGCGCGTAGATGACGTCACGCATGACTGAGCACATTAAAAACCTGATTGTGACTATTCCAGGCCAAGCCAAAAGTTCGTTTAAGCGCGATTGTGCGTAGCTTGCGGCAAATTTGAAATATCGTGCGCACAAAAATGTGGAGAAGGAAAGAAGAATAAGAAGATGATCTCTGACAATAACAAGAGGCGATCCACTTGTGAAGCGGATCACCCATTACAGCATTTGAAAAAATTATAGATTTTGAACAGGATACAATTTATGAAACATGTGTTAATACTTTCTTTTTAAAACTTTGTTTGAGATCACAATTATTTTGTACGCTGATATAAAAACGCCTGTTTATGATCTTATGGAATCACTAAATTGGAAGCTTGTGGACAAACAATGGGAATATAATATTCTTGTAATGACATTTAAATGCTTATCAGGAACTGTTCCAGCATACTTAACACATTTTTACGTATATATTTCTTTATCAATTCTGTTTTTAATTTAAAGTAGTTTAAGATCATACCCTGGACCTCAGGGAAGAACAGTGTACTAATACTGACTGAGTATCCAGAATAAAGAAAGATTTCTATTCTATATTCTAATTAATTATTTTGTTAAGAAGGCTATTCCACTATGGCAAATGGGAAAAATGATGATAGATATGCACGGGTTCTGCATTTTTTAATTACGTGAGGTTTTGAGTACTTGCGGAGTATCCCTGAATAGACTATGCTGCATTTATTGTACTCATTTATTCTTTCATTAATTTATCAATCTACCAATGTGTACATTCGTCCGTCTCTTTATTTATTCATAGATGTATCCATCTATCAATGTATTACTTATTATTTATGTGTCCATACTATCAATCATTCATTCATTTTATTTATTTATCCATTCAGTAATTTATCCACTGTCAAATTGTGCATTCAATTCAATTCAGTTTCAATTTATTGTCATTTGCAACGCTCATATTACATTACATAGAAATTTCTGTGGCTCTTTTTTGACATGCAACCAAGTCCAGAAAACAATGAGCAACAGACGAAGTAGCACAAAAGTGAGAAATATGAGAGTAATAGAAACAAAAAAAGTGCTATTGAATTGTATTGAGGGCCCGGTTCGCTGATGGAAAGAAACTCTTTTGGTACCTACTTGTACGAGCATAAAGCGAACGATATCTTCGAGAGCAATTCAAAGAGAGAGTTACCAGGATGTGTTGGATCCTCAATTATACATTTTATTTTTGTTAACATCCTAGCATTAAATATGTCCTCAATATCATTCTCATTGTGACCGATAATATGAGAGGCATATTTAATGATACGTCTTTCATCCATCTCGTTACTTATTCATAAATGTATCCATCTATTACTTCATTCATTTATTCGTTCATCCTTATGGATATTGTTTGCAGTTGCTTTTAAGTTACCATTAATATTGAAGCTTTCAAATGATGAAAGTACAAAATATATACTATGCAATCCACTTCTTTTATTTACATTAGATGGATATGAGCCCCCACAAGTTCGTATTACTCCAGCATACCGACAGATAACAGAAGGAGACACGGTGCTCTTTGTGTGTACTGCTAATGGATCCCCAACTCCTACGATCACATGGACACATCAGGGATTCTCTACATTGCCTTCCAATGCAGACATCTCAAATGGAGTTTTGCGGATCTCTTCCGCTTCTGTGAATAATGCGGGAACATACCAGTGTGAAGCATCTAACATAGCTGGCTCAAAATCAGAACTTGCAACTCTTGTTGTCATAGGTACAGCATTCAGGTTTTTAGATGTCATTGATTATATTTTTTTATTTGATTTTGAATAATTACTTTATCCATATTAACCTAACTTTCAGAATTATGTATTTGAGCATAGATTTTTGAATAGTTTTACAAGTAAACATTATTGTTCTGAAAAATTAAAGTTTTAATTTTATCTTTTCATAATGCATAAAAGAAAACAGTAATTTAGTTATTTAACCTTGTCCTGCACTGGGAAAATTGCATACATTAAGAGATTGCAAAGATAAAATTACATAAATTCACACAAACGTTTTAAGTATTTTTAAAGAATATTTAAATTATATTATCTATAGAACTCGGGTATTGATCATTTTGCAATTTTAAATTTTAAAATGTATTTTAAAAGAATATTTAAATTATATTTTCTAAAGCTCTCAGGTCTTGATCATTTTGCAATTTCAAGTTTTTTTTGTCTTCTGTAGGAATTCAGCTTCCAACACCAACTATCTCTCCTGAATTTTTGGATTTACACGAAGGTCAGACGGCAGAATTTACTTGTGCTGTTTCTGACTCAACAGCAGTAGTTGAATGGACAAGAAGGGATGGGCGTCCACTTCCAGCAAATGCTGCACTGTCTGGAAACACCCTGTATCTTCAATCACTGCGTCCAGAAGATTCAGGAGAATATGTATGTACTGCTGGTAACTCTGCTGGGTACAGATTCACCACATGTAACCTAATAGTCAGAGAAGGTATGTTTGCCCTGGTTTTTTGTTAACCTTCCAATAGTATTTCAAATGTTGTAATGTTTTGTTAGCTTACCAAAGCTGTGAAATCATATTAGAATGTTGTGGTACCCTGACTTTTTATCTTCTCAAATTTGTGTAATTCTTCTAATGATAGGTTTGTGTTTAATTGCCCTGAAATTTTGGACACCCAAAGTAGTGTAATTCTCCTAATGAGGCCTGCCCAAAGCAGTATATATCTTCTGTTCTTGTGAATCCCCTCCCCCCCCCAAAAAAAAATAACACAAAAAACATCGCTACACAAAAGTAAAAGGATTTACTTTTGTTTATCCTATACTGTAGTCTGATTAGCATGACAGTACCATTATGTACAGTGGCCTTTATATTAACCACCACATTTAAAACTATGGTTTACTTTCAGATTTCCGTGTTGCTCCAAATGCTACCATAATACGAGAGAGAGCTGTTGATAATGTTCTAACCATTCAGCAGGGACAACCTTACGTACTACAATGTTACGTGACTGGTAACCCACGACCAATGATAAGATGGGAAAGAACTCAAGGCTTCAATAGTAACCACGAAGTCTCTGTATGTGTTGTCTCTCTGTTGCCCTTTTGTATAGAACTTATTTCTTTAGTGAAATTATGCAGTGTAGCAAAATATTCCTACTTTTGTGATGTCCATGCAATTTAATTCAAGGAACATTCATTCAACAATGGCATAACAATACAAAAATGAATTAAGAAAGGAAAATATATTAATATACCAACATTGGGATTATGACTAGAAGATCAACTTAACTTGTCTTGTCTTGTCCCATCAACACTCAATATAACATATATTAAAAAGTATACAGTATAGATAAAATAATCACGATCATTTCAACAGTATATAAACAGAAATAGGAATAACATTATACAAAAGAAACATCATTTTAAAAAAATAATGTAAAATAATATAAAATCTTATTATTCATGTTATATTCTTAGCCAACTGGAGCGTACCTGACAATCCGAAATGCCCAACCTGAAGATAGAGACTATTATTCATGTATTGCAGAAAACTCTGTAGGATATTCAAGGGACTACATCGAAGTTGACATTCAAAGTAATTATCAATTAATTGGTATTTTTATTTATCATCATCATTTGCGTATCATAATCCATTCATTTGTCAGTGTGTCAACAGGTTCTTCAATCATCACGTATAACTATTGCACTTAGTTAGTAACTAAGATACAATATAATTTATTGTCATTGTATTATTATATAGCTTTGTTTGGAAATTGTTTTTTGGAAATTCTCTTTTGGAAAGTTTCTTAATTTCCAATTTTAGCTGTGTCAAATAGACATTATATTTAATATTCCTGTCACTTTTTGCCTTATTTTCCTTATCATTTTCATTATTTTGATCTTCAAGTAGGTACTGTCAAAATTTGGAACCAGGTGATATAAACAATATATACATTTGTATTAAATATGTATGCAACATAAGAAAAACACTACAACAAAGCAACAAAGATTTAGCAATTTTATCAACATCATCAACAACCTCATTATCAGTTCAACCTAATCATTAACATAATAGTCAACTTAATTATCATCATGTTCACTTAATCTTTATCTTTCATAATAGTCAACTTAATTATCATCATGTTCACTTTATCATTCTTTATCTGTCATATTCTTCATGAATAACTTCATTCATTTGTTAGAAACAGAATATGTTTTATGGTCTCGCAAAGAATAAGAAATTCATTTATAACTCTATAAAAAATCACAATTTTTTTTGTAGGGCGTTCTCTTCCTGAAATTGAACTATACCCTGAGCTCCGCCCAGTGTATGGCATTGGTGAAAGTATTCAGTTCCTGTGTCGTGTTATAGCTGGTGATCCTTCTCCTCAAGTATCATGGAGTTATGCTGAGGGAACAAATCCCTCCTCAGCTGAGGTAAGTTTAACGAAAAAAGAGAATTTATTAGCATAAACAAAGAAATATTTAATTGAATGAATGTATTTTTGAAATACGAATCATTACCAGTGTACCACTAAGCCTAATGTTTGAATATATTGAAAATGCAAAAACAGATAATTAGAATGGGAAACATTTTAAAATGATGATATAAGGAGGAAATATAATATATAAACAATATTAACTAGGAAGTAAAATAAATACACATAAAATATGTTAAAATATAAATATGTCTGATACATGAGGTTACAAACAAGAGTGAATGTGTGCCCCTTCTGCACCCTCTCCCTC